GATAGACAGATAGATAGATATAACGATAGATCGATAGGTAGATAGACAGATAGATAGATAGATAGATATGTATATAGATAGATCGATGGGTAGACAGACAGATAGATAGATAGATAGATGGATATATCTATAGATCGATAGGTAGATAGACAGATATATAGATAGATAGATATGTATATCAATAGATCGATAGATAGATAAGTATATATATAGATAGAACCAGGATAGAAAGGCAGATAGACAGACAGATAAACAGGTAGATTGATAGATAGATAGATGTCTGGTTAGAATGAAGAACTCTTTCCCCAAGGTACAGTGATCGCTCGTAAGTTGAAACTTTCAGAAATGCAAACCATATTGATTTGCAAATATTCAAAACAGTATCTTTCGATCAAATCAATTCATTTTGAATCTAAAATTCGTATTCATTTTTGACTATCGTTTGCTTTCGAGCACCATCGAATTGACCTTGCGCAGATATCGTAAATAAAATTAAATTTCAAAATTTTGCAAAATTTAAATTTCAGCTGCAACTGAAAATGTTCCAATTTGTATTTCTAAGAATTTTGTCGCTTTGACAGCCTAAAAAAAGTTTTTGACTTGTAGATTATCTTATTTTATTTTATTTTAGATTATTTTTTTTTTTAGTATTTCAGACTTGCTAAGTACATGGGATTAGTTAATTTGTGGCTAAGCATGTGTAGCATGTTCCACAATTTTAATATATTGCATAATTTTCGAAAGTATTTCAAGAGCCTTGTCCTCTGTTTGGGACTGAGTTTCAATTTCTATAACTTTCTTTTCTAATACTCTAAGTAAGAAATTTGTATATTTTTCTGATTTTATAATCGAATTCTTTACAGATTTTTTGAATTTTCAAAAGTTTTCTTAATCCAATCAGCGCAGAAGATACTTAGCCAGAAATTGGTCGATATTTGTATTTATATCTATAAAAGATCTAGATTCTTTTTGAGTAACTGGTAGATATTTGTATCTATAATGTATCTGAGCTGCATAGCGAATAATCCGCAGATACTTGCATCCATTGTAAATATGAGGTAGTTTCTAGCTCATTTGTATTTAAAACATGGAAAGATACTTTGCGAACAACTAACAGTTACTTGTATCTAAATTATGCTGAAGATTGTGAAGTTCACTTGCAGATACTTTTATCTAAAACAGATTGAGATCATTTCTGGCCGAAAATGTAGATATTTGTGAGGTACTTTATGGAAGATACTTTATCTAAAACAGACTGAAGATACTTTTGTATCTACATATAAGGCAGAGATACTGGGTGGCCAACTCGCAGATACTTTTAGCTGTAATACAACTTATATATATGTAGCTATGCTACAGATATCTGGAAATGTATCTACAACAGACTGAGATACTTTGCAGCCAATTTTCTGGCTAATTTACAGTTACTTGTAAAGTTGATAGACATGAAGTATTTTGTGGCCAAACCAACTTGCAGTAACTCCTCCCCTAAACAGACTGAGATACTTTCTGTCAATCTTGCAGTTATTTGTATCTGCGCAAACTTTCAGATATTTGTATAAGTTGAGATTGGGATACTTTTGCAGCCAACTAGCAGTTACTTAGAGAAATAATAGAAAAATATGCTAACTTGCAGATACTCGCATCCATTATAGACTGAGATACATTCAGACTATGCTGAGCATTGTAGGAGACTTGGGGTACTCTGCATATATAAAGCATGGATGGTATTTGGTGCACAAGTTGAAAGAATGAACCAAAAAAAATAAATAAATACAAAATAGATAGAAAAATAGAAAGAAAAAAAAGCGCACGCACAGTGCATTGCACAGTCCATTTGTAGCTGTATCTATGTCTATCTCTAGCTGTAGCCGTGTGTATCTTTAGCTCTATCGCCAACTGTATCTGTATCTGTATCTGTATCTTTGGCTGTATCTTTAGCTGTATCTGTATCTGGCCACTGGGCGCTCCAATGCGAGACAGCGTTCCGTCCGTATAAATAGTGCCATCGTTGCGCTATTTTTGTCGAAATATTCCGTACGCTTGCGCTCTCATTCATGCAGCTTCCCGGGGCCCCCCTCCCCTCCCCCCTTTCCCCTTTGCATGCCCCCCCTTTGGCGTCACCTGCCTTTGCTTTGAAATTTATTTATTTATTTTTATTTGGTTTGTCTTGTTTTATTCTATTCCATTTTTTTTTTTTTTTTTGTCACTTTGTCAGGCTGGGCAAATGCTTGGCTTTTGGCTTTTGCTAGCTGTATTTGTATCTGTATCTTTGGCTGCCGCTGCTTGTATCTGTGACATGCTTGCGTTTGCATGTACATACCTCTACATATACATCTTTATGTATAGTATATATTTATATAGTCAACGCTTGTCGTTCACATTCGCCTTTCAGGTGCATTTTGAGGTGTCGTGACAGCAAATTCTTGCCTCAAATTATGCGCACTAAAAATAATTGAAACTAACAAAAAAAAAAAAAAAAAAAACAGAAAATAAGAATTGAGAAAAAAAAATGGATGAACATTTTGTTCAACAGCTGCCAATTCCAATGAATCTCTCTAGCTATAGACACGCCCCCCCCCTCCCCACCCTCCCCACCAGTTCCCTGTCGGCCGCCCTTGCCCCGCACACTTACGCGCTGCTGTTTGCTGCTGCTGCCTCTGCTGCTGTCGCTGTCGCTGCCTCTGCTGCTGCTGCCTCTGCTGCTGCTGCTGCTGCTACTGCTGCTTCTTCTTCTTCTGTTAGCCGCTTTGACCAAAGTTGGTTAAACACTCGCGCTTCGACTGCAACCGTTCACCGCATTACAAGCACAACAACAACAACAATAATAATAATAGTCGTAATAAAAACAACAACGTTTTAAAAAAAAACTCAACTGCACATAACAACAAGAAGCAGAAGAAGAAGAAGATGCTTCATAAATAACAACAACAAAAAAACTTGTCTTTTGTTGCCTTCTTTGGTTGTTTTTATTTTTCTTTTTTGCTGCTGCTGCTGCTGCTTCTTTTTTCTTTACTATTTTTTTTCTTTTTTACTATTGATATTCTTTTATTTTGTATATATTTTTTTTTGCACTTTGCCGTCTAAAGATGAGAATTTTTCTCTAGCCTCTCCTCACGCCTCGTCTCTGGTCTCGTCTCGTCTCTCGTCTCGTCTTTTTCTGATCGGGAACACAAGTCGCACAAGTGATCGATGCCGCCTCTGAGTGTGTACTGAAATGGCCAACAGACGATGACGATGACGGCGACGACGGCAGCGACGCTGGCAGCGGCGATGGCAATGGCCAAAGCGACGGCTCATTCCCGTTCCTGGCCACAAGCGCGCATCACATCACGCACACGGCACTAAAAGAGAGCAGCACCAGCAGCAGCACACACACACACACATGTACGAAACAGTGTGAGTGGATGAAAGAGAGAGAGAGAGAGTACGTCTGTCGTAGCGGCAGCGGCAGAGAGCTAAGCTGAGCGCAAAACCTAACGGCGAAAGCGGAGAGGAGCAAGCACAGCGAGAGCGAGAGCGCGCATAGACAATGGCTGATCGCACACGTGGGCCGTGGGCTGTGGGACTGCACATTCGGTGGTTCTTTCTGTTTTTTTATTTTTCTGTCTCTTTTGTGGCTGTCCATCAAAAAGGGCTCAACTGAGCTTTTAGTATACCCTGCAGTTAATTAAGGCAAGCAGCTGGGTAGTTGCAATAATAAGAGGCAGCTAAGAAGCGTGCAATCCTTTATTCTAGTCTAAATTTTTGTGGTTTTCAGTTTTTATATCCAAATACTTTGACAATAGCTAAAAATATTTTTAAATACTAGCGAATTGTGAAATGTTGATTTAAATTTTTTTTGTTCAAAACCAGTTTTCATGCTTACATTAAATATGTAAATAGCATTTGACAACATTAAGTCGAACAAGATTTTTGGGGCAGTCGATGAATAAATGCACTTGGCATATTAATTACATCTTAACAAAAATTTAGAAAGTTTCTTTTTCCTAAGAAAGCGACGAACGTTTGTGTTTGCTATTTTTGACAGATTTAAGAAGTTCTAGTAAAGCTTCGTTATTGCTGTGATTCTGCACACATATTGGAAACTTTAATTAAATCGTAATTGGAGAACTTGAACAAACTGTTTTCAAAAATATGAAGAAGGTTTTTTTTTTATTGTAATGGTTATTCGATTGTGCCAATTCTACATTATTTTCAATTTATCATGTCAACATCAGATTACAATATTATATAGAAATATCGGTCGGAAATAGAGTATTTGTATGAGCTAGTCTTTCTTGTTATTTTATTACATAAGAATGAGATGCGCATATATTTTCCAATTTCATAAAATGCATTTACAGGGTATTATTTATTTCAAAATATGTGTATATAGGGTATTTAATATTTGTGACTTAGGCCATTCCTAAATGGCCGAACTTCATATAATTAATGGATAGGGTATTTTTATAGTCGTGACTAGAGCATCCTGAGTTTTATAAAATGTATTTAGAGGGTATTCTAGAGTCATAACTAAGTTACCTTCCTAAAATTAGGACAATTTCGAGTACTTGCCGTGTTTCATAATATTGATACACAGGGTATTTTGTAGTCGTGATTAGATCATACTCAGTCTGCCTGCTTCAAATCAAGAATTGAAAGTACATATTTTTAAAAATTTCGTAATATGTATGTACAGGGTATTTTGTAGTCGTGACTAGAGCAAGCTAAGTTTGTCTACTCAAAATTTGATAAGAGAATATTTTTAGTCATAACTTAGTTACCTTCCTAAAATTAGGAAATTCCGAGTATTTACCAAGCTTAATAAAATTTATGTACAGGGTATTTTGTAGCGTGACTAGATCATAATAAGTCTGCCTGCTTCAAATCAAAAATTTTAAAGTATATTTTCCAATCTCATAAAATGTATGTACAGGGTATTTTGTAGTCGTGACTAGAGCATGCTTAGCATGCATTTATTGTGAGGGGGGAGGGGAGGGGCATTTGCTCACACTTACCGCTTGGCTGCCGTTGTTGTTGCTGTTGTTGTTGTTGCCCCTGGGCAGCTGTTGCTGCTTCTCCTGCCGCTGACCCGCCGGCAACATGGTCTCCACGCCCTGCATAATTACGCTAGCGCCGAGGAATTTATTGAGCAGAGCACGTGCCTCGCGATCCTCCGTGCTGTCGCCGGGTTCCATAACTGCAGCGATGGGGAGGGGGAGGGGGGGAATAAGATTAGTTGCAGCTGGAGCAGGAGCTGGAGCTGGGCGGGCACACTCACCATTGTCGGCATTGCGCATACGCTCGAGCACATCGTCGACGCTGCCGACGAGTCGATCCTCGCCGCTGGTGTTGAGGAAGGATCGGGTGCTGGAGCTGGTGCGGGTGGTGCTGCTGCTGGACTTTTGGCGCATCTGTGGTGTCTCCATCTCGATGACGCTGCAGACATCGTTCGATTCGCTGTCCTCGGTCTCCGCCTCGTCGGCCACGGACTCCTTCTGTATGAAACGTTCGGTCAGCTCCTTGACCGAGCCGCGACGCGTGCCCGTCTCAATGGCCGCCGCCGCCGCCAATGGCAGTTCATCGGCATCGATGAGCTTCAGTTCGCGCTGCAGCTTTATCTGGCCAGAAGGCTGGCTGGTGTGCTCCAGCTGCTGCTGCAGCGTGGCCAGCTCCGCGGGATTGCTCGAGTAGATGAGCTCCTTGCGCTCGCGACGCGGCGGCGACTTGTCATCCGAATAGAACTGCTCCTCGATGACATAGCCTGTGACTTCTGTGTGTGTGATTAAATTGCATGATTAGCCGGCATTTAACACTCAATCTTGGATATGGGACCTGGGAACTGGGACTTACCTTGCTTTGTCTCACATGGCGCCGTCGGCTGTATCTTCTTCTTGAGCGCCCTGATGCCAAAGAGGGGCAGCCCATTCTCATCGGTGGGTCCAACGCCATAGCTGGACGTAATGGAGTCCTCTTCGCGTCGCTTGCTGCTGCTGCTCCGGTTCGTGGTGGTGGTGGAGGAGGAGGAGGAGGTGGTGGCGGCGGCGGAGGAGCTTGTATTGCTGCTGCGCATCAATTTGCTGGTGCTGCTGCTGCTGATGCTGCTGGAGTTGGAGCCCTTTCTGGGCGTGGGCGTGGGCGAGGACGAGCCGGAGGCACGCAGCACCTTGCTGCGATCCGCCCAAATGGGACTGGGCTTCTCGTTGGCCTTGTCCTTGTCCTTGCCCTTGCCGCTGGTGGTGCGTGTGGTTGTTGTCGTTGTGCTTGATGCTTGGGCCTTGCCCGTCGGACTGCGACGTCGCGTCTGGGCGGGACTGGCGCTGCGCTCGCGTGGCTTTACCGGCGGCTTGCCATGTGCCGTGGCGCTGTCCAGCTGCTCCGTGCGACGACTGCTGCTCCTTGGCTCCGGACTGTGGCTGCGCTCGCGTGCCAGCTGCTGCGGTTGCTCGGCCGTGCGTCGTGGTGGCAAAGGACTGCGACTGGGCGTGGAGCTGGCGCTGCCCTTGCTGGTTATGGTCGTTGTGGTGATGCTGCTGGTGGTGCTGCTCGCATTGATCATGTTTTTCTTGATCAAACGTATCTGGGCGCGTATGCGGCGGCGCAGCTCGTAGCTGCTAACCGTCTCCAGCAGCTGCTCCAGCGTCTGCAGATCAAAGATTTCCTCAATCTCGATCTCCTCGCTGTTGGTGGTGCGCACCGGTTCGGGCCGTGAGCCGCGCCTGGGCACATCAAACTTGACCGCCGCATTCGGATTGCGTGGCTCAAGTCCGATGTCATCCTCCACAGAGGATTTGCGCGAATAGTGCGTCTTATTGATCTCCAGCGAGTCGCGACGAATGTGCTCCAGGGAGCTCTTCGTGTGATCCATGTACGAGGGTCGGCGTCCGTTGGGCTCGCCGTCGGGGCTGGGCGATTGCTTCTCGAAGATGTTGCGGCGCGAGGCGACGGTGCGGCCGGGTGACGTTTGGCTGGTTGGCCGGCTGCGCTCTAAAAGTGGTTCAACGTGTGGTTCAGTGTCAGGGGAGCTGGCAAGGATGTGGTTAGTTGGACTATGGGTTCGGGTTGTTGTTGTTGTTGTATGCTTTGTGGTGCTGTGCTCAGTGCTCGCTTTAACTACGGTGGATTTCGAATTGGTGGTGGAGTTCGTGGTGCTGGTGGTGTCTGGCTTTTGGTTGGCGGTGCGTCGCTGTGGCGATACGGACTGCGGACTGGCCCTGTTGCTGTGACTCTGGCTGGGCGCCTCCACGTCGCTGGGCAGCCACTGCTCTCCACGCTTGGTGGTGCTGCTGGTGCGTCGCTTTTCGGTCTCTATTTCTTTCTGGTAGTCGCCGCTGGGCTTGCCGCGTGTTGACTCCAGTGAGGGCTTGCGTGGTGCAGTGGTGCTGCGTGTGCTTGGCTTCGTGCTAGTGCGTCTGCCCGGTGATGTTGGCTGTGGACCAACAGGCTCAAAGTCCTCGACATCCACATCAATATCGCTGTGCAACCACTGCTCACCACGCTCACCACGCTTGGCGGTGCTGGTGGTGCGGCGTGTCTCGGTCTCCGTTTGCTTAATATACTCGCTGGGCTTGCCGCGTGTTGACTCCAGTGAGGGCTTGCGTGGTGCAGTGGTGCTGCGTGTGGTTGTCTTGGTGGTGGTGCGACTGCCGGGCGACGTTGGCTGTGGACTGGCGCTGTGGGAGGCGGGCGTGGTCGCCACCTCTTCGGCGTCCACATCCACATCGCTGAGCACCACCCACTGCTGCTGCGTTATGTGCTCCCTGCGCTTGGTGGTGCTTGAGGTGCTGGTGGTGCTGCGCTGCTCCGAATTGACTGGCTTGCCGCGTGGCTGCTCCAACGAAGGTTTGCGTGGCCCCGTCGTGTTGCGTGTGGGGCTCTGCTGGTTGCGATACGATTTACGCTCCTCCGTTATGAGCGCGGTGCTGGAACTGGGACTGCCGCGTGGCTTGCTGCTGTTGGCTGTCGGCTTGGGCGTGGCTGGCTTGCGCTGACCGAAGACCGAGGGACGATTGAGTATGTCCTTTTGACGCTTCAGCTCGATGGCTGTGGTGTGGTGCTTGGACATAGGCAACAGCTCATCGTTTGACTCCAACGGCTCCTCGGGCTCCAGGTCGGAGGGCTGCTCCGGCTCCGATTCCTGCTCGAGTTCCGGCTCGCTCTGGCGCGAGATGTGACGCTCAATGCTGGCCACCAGCCTAGGTGACTTTTGTGGTGCACTGGGCGCCAGCTTCTCGGCGGTGTCGATAAACTTGTGCACTTTCTGCGAGACGCTCAGCGTGCAATCGTCTTGACGCAGCTCCTCATCGATGTCCTCAAAGCTGGGACGCTCGATTTCGCGCGTGGGCGTCGTCAGTGGCTGCTTAGTTATATTCTCGGCGGTCTTCAGAAAACGATCCACCTTCTGGTCTATGCTCAGCAGGCACTCATCGCTGGCCGAGACCTTGGCATGCTCATCGAACTCTCGGCTAAAGGGCGTCGAGGTCTTGGGCTGCTTCACCTGCTCGGCGGTGTGCGTAAACTTCGAGACCTTCTCGTGCACACTCAACAGGCACTCATCGATATCGATGCTGGGCTGACCATTGCTGGGTGCGGTATAATCTAGGCTCTTGGGCGCCTCCACAGTGGGATTGTCATGGATATCCGCCTCGATGCCATTGGGATTGCGCAGCTCTGAGATTTGGCAGCCCACAAAGGCATTGGCCTCCTCCTCAAAGATGGGTATATTGGTGACAATCGGTTTCTTGCGCGGCTCATCGTCCGGCTCCTGCACGACATCCGGATAACGCGGCTTGCCCGTCTCCAGCTCGGCGGGCACCGGTGTGGGCACAATGCGATCCGGTGAGGGTTCCCGCGAGCTCTTCGCGTGCTGTATATCAATGATGACATTCTCCATGTCCTCGCTGTTCATCAGCTGCTCGCTCAGATTGATGGTCCTCGTGGTGAAGCATTTGCTGGGGCGATTGCGTTCGGTGGGACGCTGCGCCGAGCTCGGATTTAGGGTGCTCATCTCGGGTGTCAGTTTTGGCTTGCCGTTGACCACCTTAATGACATTCTCGCTGGTGGAGCGCGTCACCTTGTCCTTGTCGCGGCGCGTGACACGCGGCACTGGCGCCGACTCCTTGCGCTCTGTGACCGGCAGCTTGCGTGCGGGACTGGCCAGGACCTTGGACGGCACTACCTTGCGATCGGTCTTGGGCGAAGGCGTCTTCGGCGCCGTATGATCTATGATGATCTCAGTGTGCACGGATATGTTGCTCGAGCGACGACGCTCGCTGGGAATACGCGTGGGGCTCGTATCCGGCGAGGAGGACTCTCCGTCCACATTGTCCGTTTCGGGTTTCTGTTTGCGCGGCGACGAGCGCAGCCGATCCTTGATGTTGGGTGAGCCATTGCTAACACTGGGCTTTTTATCCTTCTGTGTGCTGTTGCGTGCAGTTGTGCTTGTTGTTGTTGTTGTTGTGCTGCGAGTTTCCTCCACCAGGCTATCACGCTTGGCAGGTTCACGCCTTGGCAGCGACTCCTTGCGTGGACTCTTCACCGTCTTCGGCTGCGTTTCCTTCAGGGGCTGCTTGCTGGTGGTGCTCTTTGTAGTGCGCGAGTTTCGTCGCTCGGTTTCGGTTTTGGTGATTGACGGCTTCCTAGAATCGGGCTGCTTGGGCTGTGACTCCTCCGGTTCACTGTCGTTCGGTTGTTTCTTCACCTTCGGTCCAGCTGTAGGTCCGCCGGGTCGTTGGGTCTTGCTGAACTTTTCCACCACTGTTTTGCCATTGCAATCGATTATCTTTTCGGTCACAAAATGCTTTGTCTCCGTTTGGGGCAAAGGTTCCCTGCGTGTCGGTGATGGCGACTTGGAAGGACGCTTTGTTATGACCACAGACGTCGCTCCACTTATGTACTCTGCATCATCCTTGGGCTGCTTGCTAGGTGCCTCGTGCCTGGGTTGTTTGCCAGGTGTAGGACGCGGCTCTTTATCATCCATTGGTCGCCTAGCTGATGCAGTGCGTGGCGTTTCCTCAACCTTAGTCGGTTTGCCAGCTGTTTGGCTTGGTTTTCTCACATCCTTGGATTGCTTACCAGGTGAAGGATGCAATTCATCGGCTGGGTAGGGCGAATACTCCCTGCGAGTGGGCGATGGCGACTTGGGAGGACGCTTCGTGACAACTATGGTTGTGTCTTCGCTCACTTTAATGAACTCAACGTCTTCGGAATAATATTTAGGTGCCGGACGTGGCTCTAGCTCATCCTTTGGCTGTCTTCCTGTTAACGGACGTGTCGGTTCCTTATCCTTCGGACATTTACCGGAAAGTGGTTCCTCGTCATCCACCGGATAAGGCAAGGGCTCTTTGCGACTAGGTGAAGGTGATTTGGTAGCAGGCTTCTTTGATGTTCGCTTTGTTGTTATAGCTGTCTTTTCTTCTTCTACATTTACGAACTCTGCATCATCCTTTGGAAGCCTACCGGTTGTTGGAGTTGGTTCTTCGTCATCCTCTGAGTATGGCAAAAGCTCTTTGCTAGCTGGTGATGGAGACTTCGAAGAACGCTTGGTAGTAATTGTTGTTGTTGTGTCCTCTTCTACATTTAAAACCTCTACTTCGTCCTTGGGAAGTCTGCCAGATGCTGAACGTTGTGGTCTTTCGTCCTTAGGCTGTCTACCACCCTTAGGACGCGGCTCTTTCTCATCCAATGGCCATTTGCCAGTTGTGGGACGAGGCTCTACCTTATCCTTAGGCTGTCTACCAGCTGTGGGTCTAGGTTCGTCCTCGTCCTCTGAGTAAGGCAAAGGCTCTTTGCGAGTTGTTACTGTCGTCGCTTCTTCTACATTTATAACCTCTGTTTCCTTCTTGGAAAGAGTGCTAGATGATGGACGTTGTGGCTTGTCATCCTTAGGCTGTCTGCCACTCTTAGGACGTGGCTCTACCTTGTCATGAGGCCATCTTCCAGTTGTGGGAAGTGACTCTACCTCATCCTCCGGGTACGGCAAAGGACCTTTACGGGTGGATGAAGGCGACTTAGATGACCGCTTCGTTGTAATTGTTGTCGTCTCTTCTTCTACATTAACAAACTCAGCGTCATCTTTTGGTTGCCTGTTAAATGATGGACGCTGTGGATTCACAGCCTCAGGGTGTCTACCAGCTGAGGGTCCTGGCTCTGGCCCATCCTTGGGCTTTCGGCCACCAGCAGGACGTGGTACTTCTTGATCAACTGGCTTGGGCATCTTTTTTCCCGTTGTCTTCTCTGTGTTGACGAGCGTTTCGATTTCGTCTGACTCCGTTATATCCACCGTCAACTCGTTGCGTTGGGGTAACAGGCTTTCCGGCTCAGACAGAGGTTCCTCGACTTTGATGACAGGCTGTGCGCGTATGATATATGTTTCGGTCACCTGCCTGGGCTTGTCATCCTCATCATCATCATCGGGACAATCCTCAATCTTAAACTCAAAGGTCTCCGTCTGCTTGACCACCGTTGATGTTTTCTGCTCATCAGTGTCATCGTCGTCAACATCATCGTGAGGTTTTGGCACGTAATTGCCCTGCGTATCGCCATCCTCCTCCATGCCCAAGATCTTGCGGCAACGATCCTCAAAGGTCTCCCGACGTGTCAGGCCCTTCTTGCGGTAGGTGGGCTTCTGATCTTCTTCCGGCTCTGGACTCTTCGACATGAAACCACCATCTGGTGTCTCGGGTGTTTCGCATGACTCCGGAGTTCTGCCAGCAGCGGGCTTATTGCTAGATCTATCGATCATATCTTCATCTTTGGGCCTTGAACTTTTGGGCAATTGGGTATCGGGATGTTCGGGCTGCTTATCAAACAGTTCCTGAGGCTTGCGAGCCTGAGACTGACGCTCGTTCGTTATGAATTCTTCGTTAAGGTTCTTCGTTGTATTGGTCAACCGTTGGGTCACAGTGCTTCTAAAGAATGCATCCTCTGGGAACTGAGATGGTTGCTGCTTGTCGGCAGTTGGCTTAGGTGAATCTCGGGGCTTAGTTGGAGCTGAAGCCGGCAACTGGGTTGCACTGGGACTGGGCTCCTTGGCTTGACGGGGCAACTCCTTGGGCTTTGCTGAGCTTGGCAATTGCTTTTCAGGACTTGGCTCCTTGGGCAGCTGCTTTTCGGGGCTTCCGGGACGTGTTGCATTTCTGGGCGTTGATGATGGTAGCGATTTTTCTGGACTCGAACGTGGAAATTCCTTGGATACTGTGCCTGGTAGCTGCTTTTCAGGACTTTGACGCGGCGAATCTCTGGGCACTGTTGAGGGTAACTGATTTTCGGGACTCCAACGTGGCGTCTCCTTAGGTCTAGTTGGCATTTGCTTTTCGGGGCTACTCGGACGTGACGATTCTCTCGGCTTTAAGGGCAGCTGATTATCGGGACTTCGACGCGGCGATTCCTTAGGCTTTGATGGAAATACAGCTGGCAGCTGTTCCGGTGTCTGACGTGGCGATTCTCTGGGCAGCTGCTTCTCGGGGCTAGCGGAACGTGGGAGTTCCTTGGGCAGAGTTGCTGGCAGCTTCTCGGGGCTACCGGAACGTGGCGATTGTCTGGCTTTCGAGGGTAACTGCTTCTCGGGACTCTGGCGAGGCCTCGAGGGCAATGTCGCTGGCATCTTCTCGGGACTCTGACGTGGCAAGTCCCTGGGCTTATTATCATTACCTTTCGTTTGGCGCTGCCTAAACTCCAAGCTGCTCTCATCGATGACAATCTGATCATCGATCTGAGCGAGACGAACCGGCGAAGACTCACGCTCCAACGGACTCTCAAATGTGGTCTCCCGCTGCAGCTGATGTCGCTCAACGCTGGGCGACTTGGAGCTGCGTCGTACCGGAGTCGGATTCCGAGTCGGCTCATCATCATCTCGAGTGCTGTATTGGGGTTTGCTGTGTGTGCGATTGGGTTCATCGCTGCTGGGTCTGGGTGCATAAGGTCGGCTCTTGTTGTTCGTGTCTGCGGGTGGGGGGGTGGAGTCAAGACATAAGCTAACGGGCCGCGCTCAACGAACAATTTGTGGGCGTGTGCGTGTCTTGTGCTCAAACGCTACGTTAATAGAATATTAGTGACGACTACAACAACTGGCTACAAGAGAACAAACTCCAAGTGGAACCCAATTCAATTTGATTTTTATTATTATTTGTTTACTGTGGGTTAATTGCTCTACGGGGTTAGGCTAGGCGAGGCGGTGTTCAGGCAGGCTTCAGGCGTGTTAGGTCAGGCAGAGGCAGAGGCAGGCGGTATATATAGGCTGTTAATAGGAGCGTTCCCACAAACATTAGAACCGTTAGTTGGCATACTTGGCATACTTTGAATACTTGGAATACTTGGTCTAGGCCCGCCCAAAAAACTTTCTGTACCAAGTGTGCGTGTGTGTGCGTGTGTGTGTGTGTGTGTGTGTATTGCCATAGAACAGATCACATTCGCAGGTTTTTTATTTTGTTTTTTTTTTTGTTGGTATATTGTATAACAGTTTTTATTAGCAAAGTTCCAAAAAAATATGTTTAAAATATTACGTGTAGTAAAGATAGTTTTCAAAAAAATGTAATTTTTCTCGATATTATTATTTAAAACGGTGTTTGCTTGCAAGTAGAAGAAGAAGAAGTAGAAGTAGAAGTTGCTTGTTCTCGATTTGTGGTGTTTTGGTGTTTTATTTGATTTGGATTTTGGATTTTATGGATTTTGTTGTTGTTTTTTAGGCCTTACCAACGGTTTCAGTACTTGTCACCGCCTTGGCAATGCTGGCCGCTTCGCGTTGAGCCGTCGGCGCATCCGCATCCGCATTCGCATTCGCAATCGTATTGGCAACCGCATCAGCATCCGCATCCGCATTGTCGGCCGGACCCAGCTTGTAATAGTGTCGACGGACACAGGGTGGCTCAAGCACGGCGGCAGATGGACTGGATGTGGTTGCCTCATTTGAGCTCAGCTTGGTTTTAGTTAACAATTCGTTGGGCTTGTCTTCAGTGGAAGGGTTCTGGTTCACGTTCTGGTTCTGGTTCTGGTTCTGGTTGTTGATTGTTAGTGTTGCGTTGTTCTTGTTGTTGTTGTTGTTGTTAATGGTAGGTGTTGTAGGAGTGGGTGGCAAAGAGAATATATCGGCTGGCTTAGTAGTAGCATACGTATACTGTGATTGGTTATCTGAAGGATACATTCATATACATAGGAATTTCCGAGATAGATAGATATATATATATATATTTATATATATGGTTGTGTGTGTGTGTGTGTGTGTTATACATATATATATATATATATTAGCTTGTGTGTGTGTGTGTGTGTGTTGGTCTAATTCGTACCTGACACAATTGGCGTCTCGCTGCTGCTGGGACTAGCCGGAAGATTGCGCGGAGCTGTTGGAATAACGGCTGGAACTGTTGGAGTTGTTGGAGTTACGGCTGTGGGCTTTGTTGGGCTTGTTGGGGTTGTTGGGGTTGTTGGGGTTGTTGGGATGGTTGGGGTAATGGCTGGGGCTGCTGCTGCTCCTCCGGCTGTTGGCTTATTGCCAATCGTATTTGTGGTCGTTGTTGTTGTTGTTGTTGTTGTTTTCGTTGCTGGCGATTTGGGCGAACGCTGCGGCATAAGATCGATTGTTTCGTTAGAACCTTGAACGTTACGGGTCTTAACAACAGCTTGTTGCTGCTGTTGCTGCTTGGTAACGAGTGTTTTACCCACGCTCTTGGTAGTGGGCACCCCGATATGGCGTGTCACCGTCGTCGAGCTGATGCGACTGGACTCGGATGGCGCATGGCTATCGTGGGAGCCCTCGCGTCCATCGCGCCTAAATGTCCGGCTCGATGAGATGCTCGACCTTGGCGTTTGACGATGTTGATCCGTTTGGCCGCTATCGCGACGCCCATGCGGCTGATGTGGATGATGCGATCCGGTCGAGCCGACGCTCTCCGCTGGCGAGCTGCTGCGCAGCGAGGCGGCAAATGCCCGATGCGCTGCATCCACCTCGCGCTCCTTCTGCAGCTGGCGACGTGTCGTTGTCGTTGTTGTTGTTGTTGTTGTTGCTGTCGACTCCGGTGCATTGCGTGTGGGCGTCCGAATGCCAGCGCTCGGTCGGCGCGGCGGCGACTTACTGGCCGGCGCCCGTGTGGGCGACCGTGCCGAGGGAAAACCCTGTGTTCCTGTGTAATCGTCGCGTGGCTGCGTGCGACGCGGACTTGCCGGCGGCTGGGCGTTCAGCGGCTGTGGACGACGGCGCTGCTGCTGCAGTTCCGGCTCCACATTGACGTCCCGCTCCACCTGGGTCTCAATGATGCGCTCCGATTTGCGGCTGACGGCGCTCGTGCTGGTCTGATGCACTGCCTCGGCATCGGGCTGATCGGGCTGAACGGGCCGTGAGGTGCGCACCGAGGGAAAGCCGTGCGTGCTGAAATCGTCGACGGGTGCCCGTCGCGGACTGGCCGGCTGTTCCCAGCTGGGCGTGCCCGTTGGTCCAGCCACCGGCAAGGGGGCATGCTCGTCAACGTACTCCGTCTCGATGGTGCGCTGCGAGCTGCTGCTGCTCTGCTTCACATTGCGACTCTTCTCGGACTTGACCACTACGACCTCCTCGGTGCTGGGCCGTTGATTGGGAAACTCCTGGGTGGGCTTATTGCCGCGCACCGACGGAAATCCGTGCGTGGAGAAATCGCTCGCCGGCTGACGGCTGGGCGTTGTCGACCGTTGATTGGGAAACTCCTGCGTCGGCTTGATGGGAAAGCCGTGCATGCTGTAATCCTGGCGTGCCGGAGACGGCGCCTTCAGCTGCTGTCCAGGCTGATTGGGCGCACGATCATCGTACTCCTCGACGGTCTCCGATGTCGTTTCAGTGGAGAAGCGACGACTGGACTTCTTGACCGTCGAATAGCTCTCCTGCTTGATTAGCTCCTCGGCCTCGGCGGGACGGCGCAACGGTTCCGCATTGTCAACCACATCGCGCGGCTCGCCACGGCTGTGGGTCTGCTGCTGCTGCTGATGGTGCACATCCTGCGTGCGACGCTGATTGTTTATCTGTGACTGATTGTGGGTCTGGGTCTGGCGCGTTGTGTCCGCGCTGGGAGTCAGTTGCTCGGTCTCGTAGCGCTTGTTCTTGACAATGGTGCCATCGGGCAGACGCTTCACCGTGGTAATCATCTTGACATTGGGCTTGGGATACTCAACCGTATTGGAGATGATCTCGCCTGGCTGCGACATCAGATGCTGTACATGACGCTGATATTCCGGGGATGCCTTATCCATATCCACATAGTGTTTGTTCTCCTCGTAGTGCTGCTGTGTCTCCACGTTGCGGGTGCTCTTCGATTGCTCCCGGCTCTCCGAATATCGTTCCTCGCGCTGTTGCTGCAGACGCTGCTCCTCGCGCTCGCGCACCTCGCGCTGCTCCCGCACCTCACGTTGCTCGCGCTGCTCTCGCTGTTCCCGCTGCTCTCGCTGCTGTTGCTGCTGTTGCTGACGATTTGTCGACTGAGAGTCCAGCAGATAGCGTGGCTGAGCGGCATCATCATCCCCATACTCGACAGTGGAGGATGAGACAAACTTGGAGCTCGATGAGGAGGTGGTGGAGCTCACCTTCATTTCGGTGCGTCCGCCGGCGCTCTCATCGCCATAGACAACCTTCTCCTGGAGATGCGTATTGGAGCTGTCCGCCGCCTGCTTCACATAGTTCTTGTCGTCGCCCTGATGCGAAGCGCTCGAGCGCTGCTCATTGCGACCCTTGAACTCGGCAGTGCCGCCACCATTCAGCTTCTCAACACCTGGATGGATCACATGGATGGATCGTGTTGGTGTTCGTGTTGGTGGAGGTGGAAGTAAGATTTGGTATTGGGTAGTTGGGTAGTTTGGTGGTTGATCACGGCACAGAGACATACAAACAAACAGAGTAGGAGTTACACACAGATTTCAACACAAATTGGTTAGAGTGCTCTAGTCGAAAGTGCCCGACCAGCAGATACCCTGTACCCAGGAAGCAAAGCTCAAATATTCTTTTTCTTCTAAAACTTCTAATCTTAGAGTTGTGTTGAAAGAACAGCGGCTGCATATCGATACCTATCAAAAAGCTTTTCCAATTTAAAGTCTTTAGCTCTTAAAGTCGGAAGAACGGATGAACAAACCGACGGACACATGGAAAATCGGACGGTCGACCGAGCAGATCGACGGAACAACTTCCATTCGGTTGGATGGAAGAACGGATGAATATCGATAAGCTTTTCCAATTTGAAGTCTTTAGCTCTTAAATTCGCAGAGATTGGGCTACAAGACGGAAGAACGGATGAACAAACCGACGGACACATGGAAGATCGGACAGTCGACCGAGTAGATCGACGGATGAATATCGATAAGCTTTTTCAATTTGAAGTCTTTAGATCTTAAAGTCGCAGAGATTGGGGCACAAGACGGAAAAACGGATAAATAAACCGACGGACACATGGAAGATCGGACGGTCGACCGAAAAGATCGACGGAAGGACTTCCATTCAGATGGATGGAAGAACGGATGAATATCGATAAGCTTTTCCAATTTGAAGTCTTTAGCTCTTAAAGTCGCAGAGATTGAAGCATAAGACGGAAGAACGGATGAACAAACCGACGGACACATGGAAAATCGAACGGTCGACCGAGCAGATCGACGGAAGGACTTCCATTCGGATGGATGGAAGAACGGATGATTAGGCGAGCGATTCGATTAACTGTTGGATGAGAGACTGTTGGTCGTCTTGCTTTACTTTTTGCACGAATATTCCATCGAACCCATTTCGTAGCACTTTCTTTGGGTACAGGGTACAACAAAGGGGATTAGTTTTAAACTATATAAAGTTGACTTACCATCTGTTTTGGCCAGCGTCTCGGTGCGGTAGGCGCGTCCATCGGGACTCACCTCCGAGGAGGTCTGCACATCCCAGCCGGTGCTATTCGGTTGGGTGAGGCTCATCGAATGGAACTTGAGCTCGTGCGTGGGACTCATCGAATCGCGCACCTCCTTGGACTTGAGACTCTGGAAATTCTGGTCCAGCAGCGCATCACCGTGGCTGGTGGCCAGCGGATCCTTGCCAAAGCCGGAAAGAGTATTGCCATTCGGTTCAGACATTTCGAATGCTATGCTATCCGGTTCGTGCCTATAGAGATTCCTCAGACGCGACTCGCGTAGCTTATAGAGATGCGTACGGATTTGCCTTTTACGTTCGCTGTCCTCCGATTGCTGCCACTGCAATTAGACAATTGGCCACACATATTTAGCATAACAGTTAGTGAAATATCTCGAAAGACTTTGCTGCGTCCTTGGACTAATTGAACCGGCTTCGAGTGCGCCACGTAACCCACACACGCGATCCACATCGAGCCAAAACGCGCCTTTTATGGACGCGTTTGACGCCTCCTCGCACTGGCCGCCAATTAGCTGACAGTCAGCCAGACAGATCAACTTGACTTGAGGCTGAGCTGGGAGATTGGGTTCGGTGAGTCAGACAATGTTTGTTCCACATCCAACGCCTTTTAAATGATATATGTATATGCGAGCGCGAGCTGAATGCAAACAACCGGCCCAAACTAACCTAATGAGCTGGAAGACTCTCGTTTATTCCGTGCAACAGCATTTCATCAGCCCACATCACAGATTTAACTATTCTTTATGGCCGAGCATTATGCACACCAACTGCATCATTTATTTGAGCTATTTGCTTCACATATTTGATCTGGCTTTTTCTTATATTTACTCCGGAAATTCCGTATACCGAATATCCTAACAACTCTCTACAATTTATTCTTATATTATATCGAAACAAGATCTTGATATATGGCATTGAAATTAGAATGAACCGCCGCAGAGCTCGAACATTTCCATATTCAATTTAAATGTACGTTTTACTCTTATGGAAAATGTGACTAACAAGCGACAGGTTGCCGGTTCAAATCCAGCAGCAATTTTCTATTTAACATTTTTTTTTTTTATCATTTTGTAAGGCAAATAATATTTTAAAAAATAACAAGAAATTTATAGCACAAAGTTTTGGTTTCAAGCCCCAGAGTAAACGGAATTCATTCATTTGAACCGGGCAATGCCGGTCAATTTCTTCTAATAAACAGACAATTCAAACTTTTCCTTTGATATGATATTTTTAACAGCCCAGTCAAAGAGTTCAAGCCCCCCGAATAAACAGAATTCAGAAAATATGTTTTTCTTTAATATAAATCAAAATCAATTTGAACCGAGCAATGCCGGTCAATTTCGTGTGTTCGGTAAGAAACCAATACTGAGCAAAACCCCAACTGAATAATACATTTGACCTCAAACAGGTCGCCCATATACCAAATTTCCGGAAAACAGCTCAACTTTAAGCTGAGTTATGATCGAATATGGAACTGGAAAGAATTCCCATAAAATATTCGATAAAACTTATCGACGATTATCGATGTCTTATCTTCTGGCTATTAGCTGGGAATGTGATATCAGACAATGACGCTTCGTTTATAAATAAATAAAAGAAATAAAAATTGTGCCGACCGATAAGTGGACAGTGGGCACACAAAGAGGCCAAACCCATTGATACGATTTCACAATATGTCAACAGATTCTTCGACTCACAATTATAAGTCAATTATAATCGACTGGTTTGCTCGGGTTTGACGTGTTTCGGCTGGCGGAACATGGCCAAACAAATTCACTGCGCGGTGATATCACCAGCAACTGCCAAAAGCTCGAAACAACTAAATCGAAAGCGGAAAACATGCCAAATAACACATGTATTAACAACAACAATAACAATAACAATAACAAAAATGCTTTGTTAACCGTTTTAAATTTAGATGCTTATAGGTAAGACTGTCGACTGTCGACCCAAGAACCTCAGTCAACAATGTATGGCATATATCATATAGAACATCATAAATCATATTCACATTTGAATTCATTAAGTCTAGAGGTTTTCGTTGAATAGAATGCATTTTATAATCACGCGTTCAGTAGAACTTCCAGTGGAAAGATCATTTATAACTTTTTCAAATATATGCTGCGCCTATTTCTGTAATTTATCTTAAAAATATTATATGTTTATCACGCAATGCAAAATATTTAACAAATTTTTAAGCACGATTTCCAGTGAAAACTAGTGCATATTTCCAGTTCCAACTCTCTATATTTATGCATATACTTATGTTATCTTTTCTATATTTATATAGTATATTAATTTGCTTTTTTAAAAAATATCCCATACAATTGTTAAATTTATTTAAGTTATGCACTTTTGAATTGAAATCGTTTTCAATTCCAGCGAAAACAGCTGGAAAATTCCAGTGGATTGTAAGCAATTTCAGCCAGCTGTTTGGCATGGTGGCAACGCCACGTCATTTAGCTGATAAGAACTCAACGAAGGCTTTTTTGACAACTTCGTTAAGTGCAATAAGAACTACAAGCAATATGCAGTGCTGCCCAGTTTACTTAACAGTGTGGCCACACTGGTTTCGTGTTAAAAATTAAACTATTAGCTAAACTGACTGCTAAATTTTGACAATCAAATCAAAATGTTAAAGTAACTGGCAAACTAGCTCCAAAAGTTAAGCTAATTTATGAGCTGAATAAAATATTCTGTTTTGCTGCAGTTAAAGATTATTTTATGGCAGAAGTTCGATTCTATTTTTGGTTGGGTTTTTTCGCTCAACACAGTTGACGCTGCTTTAAAAGGAAGCAGCAGAGAAATCGAAGCGGAGCTTTCACTAAAACTCACATCAAATCATTTAGACAAAAGATGATGGGAGCCAGCTGTCGCGGCTTACGGTATGGGGGCGGGGTATTATAAGATCTAACGGGGGCTGGGTGGAACAGTGTGACCGCCTCGGGGAAGGCGAAAGAAGTGCAACTTGTGTCCAGGAACTGGCGCCGACGTTGACGTGGACATTAACGTTGACGTTAACGCTAACGTTGATGCCAGCGTCTAGACTCTGGAGCAGCGTCTTGAAACGCCGCCTCGTCAAGCGACGATGCCAAATGACGTAATTTCTAAAAAGCGGCTCGTGATAACCAGTTGAAGTCGCCGTCGTCGCACCTCCGCTGCCAGCGGCAACCTGTTGACGCCGACAGCGACGCCGACGCTGACTGCATGCGCCTTCCCTCAGCCCCTCAGCTTCTCTCCACCCGCTGCTGCTGCTGCTGCTGCTGCTGCTGCTGCTGCTGCTGCTGCTGCTGCTGCTGCTGCTGCTGCTGCTGCTGCTGCTGATGATGACGTGACGTGCGAGATTTTGTTGATGCCAGTTGCCGCAAATGCTGATAAATTATTATTATTTTTTGTTTGTTTTTATTTTTATTTTATTTTATGATTTTTTTTTCGCCGTTCATTTTGTGAGCTGTCGTGTCAGCTTTGGAGGTCAGACGTATTTTGTATATTTCGTCTATGCATATAATTGTTGTTGCTTTTCAACTTTGCCAAAAAAAAAAAACAATCAAAAATGAATATAAAAGAAAAAAGAAATCTTTTTGCTATTGAAATTAAAATTTATTAAAATTTAATTGAATTAAAGCGTCGAACGAATGTCGCAAAACACGAACATGCTAGGAAGTGAATGCTGCTCAGCTAGCGGAAGGGGCTGCAGCGCAGTGCGGGGGAGGCGGGTAGAGAGAGAGAGAGAGGGAGAGAGAGAGAGTTGGTGGATACATTGATAAGCGTAAAATTCAGTTTACACGCTCATACGTTTACTCTGACAACAGCAATTATATATTTTGATTCCTGCTTTGTTGGCATTCGTAAACGTTTCACGGGCTGCTAACAATTCTTGCTCTCACTCTTACTTTTGTTCTCTGGGGCGTTTACTCTATCTTTAAACTGTTCTTTCCTTGTATTCCCAAACTCTTTCCCTCCTTGAACGCCCAAATATATCTCCTTCAACAGTAAATTAGCCATTCTTCTGTCCTATTCGCAAACGTTACACTGGCTGCATGCATAGTTTGTATATGTGTATGCATAATATTAACTTTTCACTTTTCCTTCTCGTTTTATCTTAGTTAGTTAAATGAAATTGTTTTCTCTCTCGTATTCGCAAACTTTTCACTGACTGCACTCGTACGTGCGGGCCGCAATCGCTTGTTCTTATCGGAAGACAGCAGCTGGGAATGTCGATCGATATGAAAGTGCAAACTTTCGTTTAGTTGGAACGGCTGCAGCGACACCTGTTGACAGCGACACGCACCAGTGCGCCATCTGGCTGCGGACAATTGCCATCTGGCATTTTGGCATCTGTCTGTTTGGCATTTGGCATTTTGGCATTTGACATTGACAATCAGTTCAATTTGCTGAGGAAATGGCCTGCACTCCGGCTTTAATTGCCCGACTTCGGTCATTTTTTGGCGTCAGTCGTTATTTATAACTATTTCAAATTCATTTCAATTCAATTCCGTTGCATGCATAACAAAAAGTGGGCGACCCAATTGCGAGCCGAGAATCGAGAATCGAGAAGCGCGCAACGCGAATTCGCCAAGTCGACGCCAATTCGCCGCAACTGCGAGCGAATTGTGTCATTCTCAAGCTGGCTGCGACGCCGGCAGAGACGTTGCTGTTTTTTAGCACCTGCGCAGCCGAAACCGAAATTGAAACTATTTAAAACTGCGCATGTTTTAAATATACCCTGCGAGTCTAGCTATATAGTCAAGGGGTATCTTTCGGCCAAATTTCTGAGCCTGCCGTCATTTTACATTTTCAATTTAGGCATTTTTTCAAGATTTTGATGTGGATTTACAAAAGTATTTAAATTTAAAAATAGTTCAAAAAAGTTCTAACATTGGCTTTATCATTGAAATTAAATCAACTATAATAATAATAGAAAATTTGTCTATTTTTGGCTTCGTTCACAGGGTATTCGTTAGTGTATCAGACTCATGGCTAGAATACGTTCACTGGATATACGTCAAACTCTTAGCTAAAATTCGTTCACAGGGTATATTTAAGTGCATCAGCCTGTTAGCTAGAATATATTCTACATGTTCTCGCCAGTATTTACTTTGCTACGGGCTGTAGTCAAGTAAATTTTAGACCTGAGTTCGGTTTGTTTTCAATTTCAGCTGTTTTTCTGTTGTTTTTGTTGATGGGAGGGGAGGGGGGAAAAGGGGGCTTGGGTATGACATTGGGCAGGTGAATTAAACATGCGGCGTCTGTTCTTGAAATTCGTAGCGACTTCGAGGCCCTCGCATCATGCATATTAATCACATACATGCTCATATAA